TTTTTGGGCTTCCAATGTATCAGGATGTCCGGACGGTGGACACCGGATGGCTGATTCATATTCCTGTTCCATCTGTCGGTCTCTGCATGCACATGTGACGATTACAGCTACATGTAGAAATGACAAGTACTTTAAAACCAGAGAAAGCTTCTGGTACCAAAAATCTCGTCCCTTGCCTACAGACTGCAGACTGAATGCTGTAGACTGCTCCTTAGATTGTCCGTGTGGGCCTATTTGTGTATGTATTTGGGTTTGTTGTTTGTTTAAATACATTTTAATATGTTAATGACCTTTTTTTTATGCCTGCAAACAACTGAACTAAAACTCTATTGGCAATTTGGAAGTTGGAATGGCAAAGTCTTTTCCCATCTCGTAAATGGATTGACATTTAAGTGTTTTTATAGTATTATTAACATCTCCATGCCACATTTACACATTCACAGACATTCATGTAGTGCTTTATACAACATATGAAGCATGCTTATCTCTCAAACATACACACTGATAAACGCTTTTGGGCATTTTGAGGTTCAATATTTTGCCCAAACACACTCACAGCCAAGACTGTAGGCAGCAGGGGTGCTGCGGATGCTAGGGCGCCCCCTGTTGCAAAAGGCAGACATCACCAGAGCCACTGAATGGAAGAGTCCGTACCACAAAGATGAAAAAGGTCCAATGGGCCTTTCTCTTTCTTACAGCAATGGCGGATCATGGAGTCTCACGATAGTTCCAAAAGTTAGCAACACACGCTAGTCGCACCATAGAGATATAGCAGCACAGACGTTTTTTAAAACGTAAGAAACAAGTTAAAAAACTAGTCTGCTTGTTATCAGAACACATTCCAACTGTCCACTAAACCTTTGTGAACTTTGACCCCCTGCTAACATGACTCTGACTTACTCAGAGGCTTTGCCCATAACCAGCTAAATATGCTCAGACTCTGAACAGGAGTGTGCCTCAAGAGTAAAATTAATTTCTGAGTGTAAATTTGGAGGTTTATAACCTGCACCCAGATGAAGGCAACTTTTGGCTTATTATGAGCTGCTGATGAGCAGTTTAATATTATAATTAAGCAATAATTGCAATATATATAATATAATATAATTTTAAACCTTAGACTCTAGTACCCCGTCGCCTGCCTGCCTGCCTAATTCAGCACCCCCACCTTCAAGGCCCTTCCCACGGCTGATTTAGACTTGTGCAGTGAATCTTTGGACAGCCTACGACATAACCTACGTAAATGGCCAATGCTGTTGCCAGCACTCATCCTTGTGCGTGTGTGATATGTTAGTTTCCTTGTGATTGTGTTCCGGTGTTTTATATGCCAGCCACAATAGAAACAAATAAAATACTGGGATGTTTTATTCCTCCCGGGCCCCCGCTCTTTGTTGTGGTTAGTTTTGGTTTTTGATGGGTTTTAAAATTGTTTTTATTTTATTTTTTTTGGAGGCAAACATATTTGTCTCTCAACTTTTTTCCACTTCCTTGTCATTTTCCTCACGTCCGTTCCAATTTTTGATTTCCGTTCTGCAATCTCCCTCCAGGAATTTGATGAAACGTGAGTCTTTATGTTAAGGCAGCGATTATGATTCCCTTAGTTCCCTCAGTTACTCTTCCATTGAGCTGGACATCAGGTTGTGGCATAAGTAGTGCTGTAGGGTTTCAGAGGGGTCTACGATTATGACCCACCTGTGGTGTAAATTTAAAATAGAGGTATAAATCCCACAATAATCCCCTGTCACATTGGAGGACAGGCGATCAAACTACTTCATGAGCCACGTGGGAGTGGGCTATTCATTTTCCCAACTGGGCTTCATGAGAAACTGGTATTGTTGTGGAGGGCTACACCAATAAACTTGTAAAAAGATAACATTAACACTGAGCTAAACTGAGTTCAGCTTATTGGCCCAGGTTTTCATGTGGGCCCTTAAGAAAATCATTTTTGCCACTCCCGATAGTCGCCCCCATGTGTGCAAATGTCCAATTAATAATGAAGATGTGCACCACATACAGAGTAAAAGGGAAAAATTCAAAAGTGGCTAATAACATTCAAAATGGGTGGTGAGGCTGGTCATTGTATTATCTCACAGCAGCATTACTATACTATATTTTTACATGAAAAGCATGTGGGGATCGCTGAAGTGACTAAAGCTCATCTTCACAGAGACGGAGCTTTTATCAAATCTCATGGCATCCCGATCGGTTGTGATCGGTTGTTAGTGAGATGTCGCCTCCAAAACCACTAACGTCACTCTTAAGGTGGTATTAGAAATGTTGGGGTATCACCAGAGCTCTTGGGATTTTGTGCTATGACAGCTGATCCAAGAGAAGATAACGAATGAAATTCAAAAATATCAACAAAGAGACAAAATAGTTGAATAGAAAAGTGGCGCCTCTCCAAAAGTTAATGGTTCTCTTTAGTTATTTAGATGTTTACATTGGGACCAGAATGGTGGCCACTGGATACTGCAAAGCAATGCAACTAGCATGACTAGAAACTGGGCATTGAAAACATGCAGGGGTCAGATATTTGAAAACAAAAATACCACAGATGGTTTCCATCAACTGTCTAACACCAACTTGGACACATATTTGGCCTCTGATTCAGATTCCTGGTGTTGAAAGAGCTTATCTCTCAGTTCTAGCTGTATTTGGGGTATTTGCGCTTTAGCATAATGAGAAAGTGAGTGACCAGAGCCCCAAATGCCCAGGGGGCCTCACTGCTCCATGCCAGCGATGAGTGAGCCACTGGACTCCTTATTTATTTGGACTTTACTGCAGCAGCAGCATTCCTCTCAGAGGAGGCTCTGTAGCTGACAGAACAAGATATTCAAGAACGGACACCATGGACCGCAGAGTCCTGAGGTTGAATCCTGAGATCAGCACTGAGAACCAGGAGGGGGTATTGTTAGCTAAAACAACTCAACCTCTATAAGGGTACAACTAGAATAATACCCAAAGTTGAGAGTCAGATTTCTGGGATGATCTGATCAAGCAGAGGTATGCGTACAGAAAACACTCTGCTAAAAGCAATATCAACACTGTGCACCCAAGACAGAGAGCAAGCCAAAGATCATTTGGCTCAGGAGCTCAGGTTTTCTTTTTTTGTTTTCTCTCTTTTTTCTCATATGTGGCTCATTTTGACTGGAAAGGGTTTAAAAAGCCACTTACGGCGCAACAAAATGAAGGAAATTATGAGGGGAGAATGAAGGAATCAGTGACTCGCTATTCATTCCAACGCTGTCAAACAGCAGCAGAAGTTTCCCCCGTGATGTCTTTCTTAAATAAGACAGAATTTCTTTGATGAATGTCTTTGCACTGCTGTAATTCAAACTAGAGGCAGAGCGTGAAAGCAAGATGGGACAAAATGACTCGGGCAGGAGCTTTTTTAAATGCAGCTGCTGCGTAGATTATCTGCTCTCCCCATCTTATGACAATGACTTCTGGGCTGGCGGGTCTACAATGGACTCACCTTTAATCTCTCCCTCTGATCATAATAAGGGCAAGTCTGTGATCTAGTTACAGTTACATCAAACTCAGAAATGGCTTTTTAATGTCACGCATTTGAGAAAGAAAGAAATCTGGGAAGTGTGGGGTTAGGAGGGTTAAGAAAATCCCTCAGGCCAAAGACGTGCATAATCTTTAAACACAAGACTTTGTTTTGTTGAATTTATTTGATGAGAGATTTTATAAGTGAGGCAGACACAGACAAAGATCTCTGATGTTTCTGTCTTGGATGCTGTTTCACGAGTGGGAAAAAAAGACAAGAAACACTTTGCTTTAACTCCACATCTCCAACACCTCAAGACCATATTTAGCCCTCAGCAAGTCTGGATCCTATATAAAGCAGCTGAGCATAACATGACGCTTGACTTGATTCCAGTCTGAAGTGATTTCAAAAAGCAGCAATTCTGAGCTTCAAACTGCCATCTTTCTCCCACCTCTCCGCTTCAGAGTGTCAATCAATCCCGTAAGTTCCCACTGTGAGACTTGAAAAATGCCTCCAGGTTAGTTCTTCGACATTCTGTTTCATTTTTATGCTTTCTGTACCAGTTGAGAAGCAGAGGGCCTCTGTATGGATGAACACCCTGCAGAGTAGGCTCGTAAGATGAGAAAAACATTATACAGAGCTTTAAAAATTCAAAGGTCACATTTTTTTTGATGGGAATGAAAACTCGGGTTTGGTTCTTGTTCTCAGTGGATTCATGTGACCCAACCGGCACAGCTCATCCACATCCACATGCAGTCATTTACGGAAAGCTGCGAGCATTCTCGGCTGTAGATGTTTCATACATCTAATTTAAACCGTGCATAGAGGACCAGCGTGCTTTAGATTATTTAGACACAGCCTGGCTGAACTTGTTTGACTTTAAGACACACAAGTGACAATGGAAGACATGTGCAGGCAGAGCTTTTTGCTTGCCACAAAAAAAAAACAAAAACCAGAAGATTGCAGAGAAAAGCTCTGGACCCTCACCGACATATGGGAGCCCAGTGAGCTCTACACACACAACTGATGCAAAGTCACTAAAAGTCAGCTCAGCTGAATCCTCTGGTGTTTTTGTATCTCCTGAGATTAAGGCACCATCGATTAACAGCTACATCTTCATCAAACAGAACAACAACATGCCTCCCCCTAGTGCCTATCTGCATGTAGACTTGAGTCTTACACCCTACCAAAAGATGTGCACTCTTAGTGTTTGTCAAAAGGACTGATTAAAAGTGGGTTAAAGTTTTTACGCATAAACTTTGCAGCTAATAACACGCTGATAACACGGGAAGTAGCCCCTACGCACAAATGCGCACAATTAACATCCACCTGGCTTCGTTCAAACCTCGAGTAAAACTTAAAGCAACTTAAATTAAAAACTCAATCCACCTCACAGCAGAGGAAAGCCGGTGTAAACCTAGAGTGCAACACCTCACTTTGTTTTTCGTTTAAATAAAGTTGCGCTCAAAACTTCCACCGTGACTCATTGCGTTATGAGATGTCTCCTCACCTGAGGCGTATGCTAGTCCAATCCAAGTCCGACAGAACAGCATAAAGTCTGTCTTCATCTCCAGATCTCCGGTCCAGAAGTGCACAAGCTTGAGCTGAGTTTCTCTCTCTTTAAATTTTTTTTTTTAGAAGAATAAAAGAAAAAGGACAGGTTGGTTTTAACAGGCTCTTAGTGGAGAAGCTGGTTTCAATGAAGGTCCTTGGGTGGGGTTAAGGGGGGGAAACTCAGGTGAACGCTGTCTGTCTGTGGGCTGCTTTGCGCAGAGAGGACATAGCCGAAGTGCTGAGGAAAAGGAAAAGCACACACACACCACACACACAATTTCCCCCCTCGTTTAGTTTAAAAGGATGCATAAGGCACTGAATGGGATTTTCAACGATTTCCCTTTCCTTTGCTCGTGACGGGAGCGCATCCACATCCACCCACCCAGTTCATAAAACAAGCTGGAGAGGGGTGTGAGCGTGTGAGGTGGTGTGTACGGGCTAGGGAGGTGGGGTGTGGAGGGTCAGCCAAACATCCATGACAAAGTTCCTTCCTGCAAAGTCTTGCGTTTCATCCCGCTGTATTAAAGACTTTTAGAACTGCGGATAATAACTGTGGAGGATAATAAAAACGTGCAATAAGAGCACTGCAATATTGGAGCTGTGGGTTTTCCCATTTGTTGCGTTGCTGCAGAACCGTTTGGCATTGATTTTCTGTCATGGATTTTTCCCAAAGCATTTAAAGTCGTCCTGACACCTAAATAGCTTAGCAGGTAATCCTAGTACCATCAGAAATTCTTACAAAGCCACCACGGGAGCACTGCAGTCACCACAGGAAGGAAACAAATGCCACTGCGAGATAAAGCAACAGAGGCAGCCTGCAGACAAATATAAGAATGTAAGAAGGAATGGTATTTTTGATGTATCAAAAATAGGCTCAAATTTCAAAATGTCACGGTCCCCGTGCCTGCTCGGCTGGCCCTGTGTGGCTACATGTTATGTTTTGTCTTTTCTCTCTCTCCTCTCTCTCTGCTCGCTGCCTGGGCGGAGCTCATTGTGAGCTCCCGGCCTCCACCACCTGTAGGCAATCACCTGTGGCTCCTCACCCTGTTTGCTCCCGCTACTTAAGGCAGTGACTGAGAGCACCTCGCCGCTGGACTATTGAATAACGCTCGTCAGTGCTACTTTAGCCTCAGCCAGTTTTGAGCTCTGTCCGTAAAAGTTCCGTGCTAACCCTTGTTCTCTGTATGCAGATTTCTCGTGTTTTGGTTTGGAGACTCTGGACGCTTTTCCCGACCCCGCTCTGCACCCCTGGGAACCCTGGCCCCCTTCTCCCTCACCTGTATATAGTGCACCTGGAGTGTGTAAATAAACCTGTTTTTCTGAGACTTCAGTCTGCGCCGAGTCCTCCCTGCTCCTCCGTGACACAAAAATGTTTTTAAATCCTTCTGACACCAAACTGTCAATGCAGTTTTATGTGTTTAGGTCAAATGCTGGTTGTTAATTTGATGTAAAGGAAAGATCTCTTCTGGCATGCTTCTGGACACAAATTCTTCCTCACGTTAAACAAACATAAGCTGAGGGAGTGCCTCTCTATTAAGTCTCCGTAATAACTCATCCAACGGGTCAGATGTAAGTAATGATGCCTCCAAGACTAAACTGCACAGAGTTTCTTCCAGACTTGACCAAATCCTGTTAACCCCCACCACCCACTCATCCATCCTCCTCGGGGAGTCCTCAGAGTGTGAATAAAAGTCATGTACTAGGAGCACAACATGCCCGTAGCGAGCCGCTATCAGTCCCGTTTTATCGTACAGGGAGGGATTTGGAAAATTGAAAACCTGTGTACCATAAGTCAGAGAGGGCAGAAGGGGGTGTGCGCTTGTGTAATCATGCGCACGCACAGAGATGGGCCTTCGGGTGCAGGTGTGTGCTTTATCTGTGAACTGTCAGGGTCACCTTTGCGGTGGTCAGACAAACATCGTATGGAAAGTGCAGAATAATCAGCGCAAGTCCAGTGAGATATATATAATAATGTGCTGCTTCGCCACTTGGAAATCCATTACAGCATTAAAGTGTCTCCGGACTCCTCCCTTGCTGTGCCTTTAGAACAGTCCACACATTAAGCAGCAGCTGTTGATGAGACATATGAGAAATAATATTTTTCCTTGATATGAACATGGTGTGATTCCTCAGCTATGAAGAGCCTGACCTCAGGGAGAGAGCTGAATAACAGGGAGTCAAAAGATTATTGTTTGTTATTGTGGGCATGCGTTTCCACTCCGGAGCCCTTACGGCAATCCACCTCTCTGACCTTAAAACACAATGTTGTGATTGAATGGTTGTAATTAAAATGTTCCCTCGGTTTCAGGCCGGCAGAGCCTTCGGCTTCACAGAAAAATAAACACACTAAATTGTGATGATAGCCTAACAAAGCGCTGTCCAGGGAGTTACTAAATCTCATTACGAATATAAAACAGATAATGTCATAAACAAACGAAAAACACTTGAACAGCCAATTCAATAAGAAATCCGCACACATAAGCCATTCAGGCAACAGCGATAGCAAACAATAGGCTTTGCGCAGGATGGCACAATCGCCTCTGCTGTGTCAGATGAAAAGGTTTCAGTTTATAATTCGTCCGACCCCTGAGAGACAACCGAGGGCTCAAGGACTCGTCCTTGAAGTGCCAGCACTCCATCCGGCCCATCCTCAGGTCAGGAAACAGATTACAGCTCTACAACTACTATCATAGGAAGGATGTGGAGCAAGCGTGCAACCCTCTCGCTCTTTCGCCGAAGTTCATGCCCATGGGCCTCCACGCTACACTGCACTTTTGCCAAGCTACTTTGAAGAAGCTGTTACAGTTCAGCAGAGTTCCTTTGGGTTTCTTTTGATTGTGGTAGCCACCATTCTTAGCATTTGTAGATCATGCCGAGTTACGGTGCCCTCCTGACTGTAGGAGCAGCGCGGTTTGCATGTAAGTTATTTGCTATGTAATCAGGATAGCAGTGGGACAAGACAACTCTCACAGCTCAAGGCAGATCCAAACTTAAGTTTGAATCTCAATCTCAGATTTGTTTATTTGCAGCTTTTATCCTTCTTTGCTGAAACTTCTTGTAGACAACTTGATACAAATCACACAGGCTCATGCATAGACCTCCCCAAATCATTCAATTTAGTTTCATCTTATCAATACTTGTGATTTGGCGCTTATATTAAGCAACGATCAGACAAGCCCTTATGACAAAGAACTTGGCGACAGTGAGAAGGAAAAACTGCCTTTCAACAGGAAGAACGGTCCAGCAGAACCAGGCTCAGGGAGGGGCAGCAATCTGCCACGGCCTATCTACACTTTCTCTTGACTTAGTCACTCCATAATCATTCCCGTTCTTTATGAGGAGACATGGAAGGTATGCAGCTAATGTTGGGTATATTTATTTAAGATGGCACTGTGGTGCAATGGCTGTGTGGAGTTTGCATGTTCTCCCACCTGTGTCTATTATGTGTCTTCCTCCCACAGTCCAAAATTGGCCGTAGGTGTGGTGGTCTGAGTCTCTGTGTCACCTCTGTAGCCTTCTCCAGCGTATACTTTGCTTCTTGCCCTGTGACACCCAACCTAAATCCGGTAAATAAAGGAAAACAGCTGATAGATGTGCTCTAATAGAAATTTGACTTTAGTGTTTAGTATTTATACCACTTTCTACTTCTCCACTCTTTACTTGACTACATGTATCACAACCATATATCACATACAACCAGCAGATTAATCATTGAAAACTATAACAAAATAGTTTTTAATACAGCAGTATAATCCTGCTTGAGGAAGATTATTTATATTTAGGGGTCTGCTCTCATTAACTAACAATACTTAAGTGAGATTTTAAATTCAGACTTTTATTTGTAACAGATTGATTTCATCATGTGGTTTTAGTGCTTCTATTTAAGTAAATATAAGAAGTAGGCGTAAACGTTTCCACCATGATGGGGATAAAGTTCTTCTTTGGTCTGCGCCAAACATCCCTGTTGTTATTGTGACTGAGCACTTCTTATCTTTGATTTGAGTGTCCAGGTCACATCTTTCTTTCCCTTTGTCTCCCTTTATCAAATTGTCGCTTTGGTTTAATCTTCCTTTTAGACAGTAAATCCAAGGTCAAATTTCTGTAGTCTTTCTCGTGAATGCCCTTTGACACCAAACAACTAGAAAGAGTTACAGTACTTTCAGATTCTGCTTTACTTCCCATCAATGTCGGTGTTCCCTTTTTTTTTCTCCTGTTCTTTTTCCTTTTTTGGAGTGGTCATTGACGCAGAAACTGGCAGCTATTTGAAAGCTACGCCACTTGTGGAAGATTTTTCTTACAGTGGAATGATTTATTTCAAATTATTTTTGAATCCCTCGCTGCTCGAGGGCATTCACAATCGAATTTTTTCCCTGAAGATCTTGGAGAGCTCTTTAGATGTTGGCATGTCGATATGAACAGATTTGAACAGCTAAGAGAACAGCAGAGGTTAGATAGTTCAAGTTGTTATGAAAAGGACTTATTAATATTAATATGTTTTGACTTTTTCCACCACTGTTATTCAGTTGCAACTGAATATGTTAAAAAGGTCAATAATTTCCAGAGGGTGTACTTCCTTTTTCACAAAACTAAAACTGAAGCAGATTTAAGAGGAAATGGCGAGGAAAGCTAGAAGTAATGACTTTTTGCATAATTGCATTTCTCAAGTTTTAATAATAAAATATTAAATAGTGTCGCTTTGAGCTACATAGGATACCCAAAGGCTCTGTAGAGCTGAGCGTCCCATTAAACAGACTGGCCACTGTTTAGCTCTATTACCATTACATTGCTTAACATGTTTTAATTACAATAAGAAACATCTTGTAGTATATAGATGTATATCACACCCAAAAGGCACAAATGTGTTCCACAGAGTCAAACAGAATGACCTGTAAAGAAGAGAAAAACAAGAATGTAAAAGGTTTACTTCATAATTTACGGCAATTTTGCTAAATCTGAACACATACATAAAAGAAAGTGTGTGATAAAAGCATGATGAATGCATATTCCGTGTAGCTGCTGTGCAGAAAAACAGTTCCCCCACCGGTCTAGTTTATTGTGCCACTTTCCCAATCAGGAGGCGCAGGCAGCAGCATCCTGCTTCAGCAGCCCCCTGAGGCCTGTCCAGGAGACCCACAGGCAACCCCACTGTCACTCTGTTTATCTGACCTTTCACCTGGCGGGAGGAAACAGGACGTCGGTGCTGTCGTGTGTTTGCAAAGATAACCAAAAGCCCGCCTGTTTTCGCTGTGGAAGTGTCAGCGATGGCTCACGCGTTTAAAGAAAAAAAATGAAAATAAAAAATTCCGGTGCAGGCGAGTCAGCAACCCTCCACCGTGTCTCCTGTTAGGATAGCTTTGGATTCACATCAGTTGCAGTGTGCAGTTGCGAACTTTGCTTTGATGATGTTTAATAGCATCCTTGATCGTTTCAAGTTGTGTTGGGTTTGCACTTCCACAGCGTGTGGCGTTGTAGAAAAGAATCAAAGGCAGTGTTTGAGGAAGAAAAAGTGATTCGGTTTATTTGCGTAAGCACTTTATACACGACGAAAGGAAATTACTAAGAAAATTAAACTCATGATACATGGCTTCAAAATTAGACACATACATAATGAATAGAAACGAATAAACAGATTGAGTCCTTTCTATTTCCTACACAATCACATACAAAATCTTGTAATAAAGTGCATAATAACCTCACCCTGACTGAATTTGGTGATTTTACAAGTCAGTCTAAAGAGTCTAACCTGGCAATTATTCCAATTATCATAGCAAAAGTCATTTATCTACATCTATTAAACATTATGTGTTGAAGACTGAGTATGCCATTAATGTAATTTGATGCATCTAAGCTAGAGCACAGCGTTTTAATACTGCATTTAAGCTAATTGGTGCATAAGCCTTGGCACGATGATTACTACAAAGTGGATTTTTTTTTTTACTTTGATAAGTAAGACAATTTTCTGAACATTTTAAAGCTTTTAAGATAGAAAACAGCATCTGGCAAAATCAAGTCAGAATTTGTGAAAAGAATGTTTACGTCACGCTCATTCAAATAATGGCTGATAACCGTGTTGTGTGAGAAAGCATTGATTGATTGCAGCGATATCAGCCGGACAGAGCGGCAGGAGGGTAGTGGAGGAGCTTTATGGGCGGAGGTTTGTGGCGGCTGTCTGTAATGCACGGGCTAAAGAAGGGGAACACCTTGCCCCTCGGCCCGTTGGCGAACGAGTAGAGCAGACTCATGTCGTCGGCGTTGTAGAAGGAGACCCTCCTCTCGTCGCAGTCCAAGAAAACCCCGAGCCTCTGCGGGGAAAATCTGACCCGCAGCCTCTCCCACGGCTGCTTCCCCACCGAGTACTCGTTCCCGTTGCGCAGCCGCAAGGTCCAGTAGCCGCTTTCCGGGCTCAGCTTGATCCGAGCGTGCCTGTTGACATTCTCCAAGGCCACTCCCAGGTCCCACTTAGGGCTGGTGCCCACTTCTACCTCCCAGTAGTGTCGACCCGACTGGAAGCCCTGGGCAGCCAGAATGTTGACGCACTGAAGGAAGCGCTTGTTGTGGTTCACGTGGTGGGTCATGACATTAGATTCGACTGCTACGGTTTTGTCTCTCGAGACTTGAATGCTCGGGTGTGCTGTATCGACGTCAAACGTTAACAGGGAGGGACCTATGGGGTGAAACAATTCATTGGGAGATAAAATGACAGATTTTTAACGCACAAAACTCCAAAACAACCCTTTTACAGCATGATAATGGTGCCACTCCTGTTTCCACCTCAATAGCTTATCATAACACTACACTCATTTTCCCTTAATTACTCCCATTATTGACTCAGAACCAGTTTTCAGCTTCAGTCATTTTGTGTGTAATGAAGCATCGGGGGGAAATTACCTGGTTTCAAAGATTTGAACATCCTCCTCCATGTGATGTATTGTAAGGGAGCCAGGTATTTGTTACTGAAAGCATTTATATCAAACTCCGGGGCGATATCCACCTGCGCACATGGTCTGTGCAAACAAAAAGAACACAGAGTTCGGATCATTTGCTCTCAGCGTAAATTACTGTAAATGTCACATGAGCACAATGTGCGCAAAAACTGTCACGAGCAATTAATTGGTCACAACACGGAAATGCACGCTCACCTCAGTGCTGGGAGCTAATGAGAAGGAAAAAAAAAAGTCACGTTAACAGCTTGTTTGAAACGGGTTCGTGAAAAATAATTAATTCCCAATTAGATGATTTTATAATATCAGACAATAATATAAATAGGGTCACATCATTTTCAATTCCCACCTCAGTCAGTACGATGTCCTGGGTGGCAGTGCTGGCCTCCTGCAGCGCTTTTATATTGTCCTCCAGCTCCTTCGCTGCCTGCTCCGTGACCTCCAGGTGGTGCTGGACTTTCACCAGCTCCTCCTCCTGCTCCCTCCTCAGCTGCTCCAGCGTACAGGCTTCCTCATCGTGCAGGATCTGATGGAGAGCTTGGAACTCACTTTTGACACGCGCCTGGAGATCTGCCGCGACACTCTACGAGGGAGAGGGATGATTAACGTTATAAGAGCGGGACTCTCCGTGTCGTGCCACGCGTTTACCGAACACGTGGCTTGCTTGCTTAAAGCTCTAAAAAGCTTGCGGAACAACACACATCTCCAGAGATACAAACAGATGGGAATGAAGTCACAATTAGCATAAAAGCTCCATGTGTCTGACAAGTACTGCATAAAGAAGGAAACGATTTCCTTTTCATCATCTCAGCCCAGTGTGTGCGGCTAAAATTTAAGCTCTTATCCCACATCTGTCTGCCTTACTTTGTCATTTTGTTTCCGTCGCTCCTGCTTTTGCACAGTTTGTCATGTTCTGCACCACTAAATATGCACATTAACATGCTGTAAACAGCCATTAGAGACGGCTGTGCTTGTTCTTATTTCTTAAGTGTTGCCATTCCTTTGGATTCCCACATGAGCGTACCTTTATAATATTCATCTTTTCTTTGTCTCTGTGAATGCTGTTGATGAAGTCCTGCTTCCTCAGGCGGTGGCTCTCCAAAGCCTCCTTCAGTTGTTTCTGCAAAGTGGTATGCAAATCTAATCAGCGTGGGGGATAGGAACACTAAAGAAAAGAGACTATGCAGAGAATGAAGGAACTCGATAACGGTAAAGGGGGGAATAATTAACGACAAGAAGTAAACGCTATTCAAGACACAGGCCCATCTGAGAACTTTGCTTTTGTGCTGTTGTTGAGTTGATCTGCATCACATTCAGAGGTTTTTCTTATATTCTGCATGTATTGAGGAGGAAACATCATAATACATTACAATCTAACGGAATCTAGTACAACTACAGCACAAAACACAGCCTAGGAAGAACACAACATTTTAAAAGGTCCCACATTATGGAAAAGCATTTTGATTGTGTTTTATTATGTTCTTAATCCACTTGCATATGTAACATAAAAGCTGCGAAAATACACCTGTCTAAAGTTTGGACTAGTGATGTCATCAGAAGAAGAAAAAAAAAACTTTACACAAAAAACCCCAATAGCAAAATCTGGAATACTACTCATTTTTTGCAGAGTATGTACCAACATGGGGATGCATAACTACAAACTACAACACCAAAGATGGCGGCTAGTGCAGTTGCAGTAATAGTGCCAGCCCGACTTGCGAAGAAAAGTAGTAAGAGTCGAGTACGGAAGCACTTGAGGTAGATGACCAAGGGTTGGAACTACATTTTTAAAAGATGATATGCAAACGTCCCCCACAGCTTGTGGGGATAGGTTAATTGATTGATTAATCTAAATTGTCACTAGGTGTGAATGTGCGAGTGAATGTGAGTGTGAATGGTTGTCTGTCCCTATGTGTTGGCCCTGCGACAGACTGGCGACCTGTCCAGGGTGTACCCCGCCTTTCGCCCTATGACAGCTGGGATAGGCTCCAGCGCCCCCCGCGACCCTGAAAAGGATAAGCGGAAGCGAATGGATGGATGGATATGCAAACGATGCTATCTTGACTTTCACACCAAGTGTGGAAATGCTTCAGAGAAGAGGCTAAAAGATAGACATCTACATATGCTTACATTCATATTTCACAACAGCATTGCTGTTGTGAAATCAACTGTGTCTAAAGTTAAATGCTTGAGCTTGTGACGTTAGCAGGATACTTAGCAACCATGCTAACACTTCTGGTAACCAAATATATTGGTAACATTTTCGTGTCATTCTGAAATGACACTGAGTCAAAGGATTAGGGTAACGTCTGTGTTTTTCTTTTTTAATTTGAATTGAATTGAGTTTTAAGAATCAGGTAATTATGCTGGTACTGGTACCGACTACTAGACTTCCAGGAAAGCTAAAGAATGTACAGCCAAGGATGAAGACAGTAGCAACATACACTGAAGCCAAAATGTCCTTTTTTGTTAAATATAAGCTACATTATAAATTTTTTGACTGCTCTGCTTCAGACTGAACTGACAAATACAGGTATTTTTACTGCAAACATGACTGTGCCATCTTAATTAGAGCCAACCCAATATAGGTTTTTAAGACCAATACTGATATTTTGTGATTTAAAAATCAGATAAATCAGCTGTTATTAATGCTGATAGTCATCAATCAGCAAATAGCTGACATTGGCTAATAATAGTGATAAAGCTTAGATTAAGCTGAAGTTCAAACTAATATGAAATGGGATCATTATTATGGAAAAAAACTGGCTTAAATGTTTATAGCCTGAAACACATGTTAAGGTATGTAAAGTCAGAATTATAAAGGGTGTGAGCCACATTACCTAATTGGAATCACTGAGCTGGAGTTCTCAACCATGTTTGTGTTATGTTATCTTACCAATATTATGGGTTATTATGCTGTTAGCTGGTGTAACAGCTCAAGGGAGGCCTGCGCTCCATTTGCACGCAATGGACCTACGCAGCCGACACAGGCACACAGCCGATAATTTAGTAATCAAGTAGTTTGTTCACATGTGGTGTCTTTTGGCCTAAAAAAATAATTAAATAAATACATTCTAAAATTCAGGTGACTTTACAAACCAGTGGCTGATGCTGCCGTGGTCTGTGGTTTGTTACTTTAGCTTTTTATGTTTTGTATGGTTTCCAAAAAACAAAAGCAAAAAAAAAAAAAAAAAAAAAAAAAAAAAAAAAAAAAAAAAAGGGGACAAGTTGACAAGTTAATTTGTCAATCGGGAATCCTTAGAAGTACCTGTACTTTTTATGTTAAGTGAAAGAAACCAGCTGAGGCCTCGAGCCTTATATTTGCTCGACAGATCAATTTCTTATCTGTTCTCTTAGGAAAAGTGGAAAAGGATTTTTTTGTCTGTGCTAAAACCAGCAAAACAAACAAACAAAAAACCTTACAAGTGTTTTTATTATTCTGTCAGTGTATATTAATGCCTCTGCTGTGCTTAAGTTGCATAACCTGTTATACAAAGTATCATAAGGGTGAGTGAAGAGTGAACTTTGGTCTGAGAAATTCAAATAAGGTAGGCTGAGGGCAGAACAACAATAAAACAAACGTGGACGCGGACTGAAGCATGAATTATAACTGTATTGGACCCAGATGTTACTTGCTGGTCAATTACTATTGATCGGTCTACTTAAGAGCACAAGGTTATTTGTATAACATCGCAGAAGACTTTATTTCTTGCTGACCCAAAGAAACTGTCTGGAAAACCGCCAGCACGACAGTTAAACATGAAGTGAGACTGAAATACAAACCTCTAGGTTCTTGGTGTAAGCATCCGAGGTAGTGGCACGGACCTTCTCCACCATGGCTGCCACAAGGTAGTTAGTTTGAAACTGCTTGGAGCTGAACTCCTTGCGGCATTGTGGGCAGGTGACAGGCCCCTGCGTTCCTCTCCAGTACCTGGATATGCAAGATTTGCAGAAATGGTGCATGCAGGCCAACATGACAGGCTCTCGGAACAGATCACAGCATATGGCACATGTCAGGTCCTCTCTCAGACTGCCTCTGGTGGACTGAACAGCATCAGCAGCAGCAGCAGCCATGATGAAGGGTGCTCTCCTCTTTGAGATCCCTTCACAGGAAGTGAAAGCAAAACGTCTGAAGGCAAACAATCCACTTCTGCAAATACTTTACAAGGAGATAGCTTCGATTTTTCTGTCAGCTGCCAACAAATGAAAGGAAAAACAAATAGTTCACCTTCAAACACAGCAGAGTGTGCAGCTACAGTCTGAAGTCCATCACTGATAACAAAGCAGTGCAAACATCTTAATACTAGCACTAAGCACCTACTTGATGGTGCTCAGCAGTAGAAATCAGGTGCTATATCACGGGGCTTGCGAGCTAGCTTGTGATTTGTATTGTGAAGGCAGTGTTTACTCAGGTAGCGTGTTTGCTCTTAACTGCCTGGAGCCAGTTAGCGTTTAGCTACGTGTAGCAGCCTCTACAAAACAATAAGAAACAAAAGACATTTCGGAACTTCAATAAAGTGACTATAATCGTCACATAATGAATACTTTGATGAACTTACGTGGTCTGTTGTTCGGAGAAATTCAAAACCGAATACGTCAAAGTTCGCCCCTCTGCTCTCTACTCCCTGCTGCTGCTACTGTTTGGGAACAAATAGTCTTATATTCTGCGCATGCGCGCGCCACAAGCCCGCGTTTGATTGGTCAGTGTGTTTGACGGTGAACAGCAGATGGCAACGAGTTTTGTCAGCAATTTTCGATATACACTAACTGGTCATTTTATTAGGTACACACGTTCAACTGCTCATTAATACAAATATCTAATCAGCCAATCACGTGGCAGCAATTCAGTGCATTTATAGGCATACAGACAAGGTCAAGGCGACCTGCTGAAGTTCAAAGTAAGCATCAGAATGGGGAAGAAAGGGGATTTCATTGAGAAATGGGTATTGGTGCCAGACAGATCTGCTGATTGACTGGGAATTTCCTACAAAACCATGTCTAGGGTTTACAGAAAATGGTCTGAAAAACTGAAAATATGCAGTGAGTTGCAGTTTTCTGGGTTTTGTCGATACTAAAGGTCGGAGAAGAATAACCACACTGCATAAAGCTGATAGGAAAGTAATATTAACTCAAATGACCACTTAACAGGAAATTCAGGCTAGAATTCACACAGACGCCCCAGAAATGGGCAATAAAAGATCAGAAAGATTCTGATGAGTCTTGATTTTGCTGGTACATTAGGCAAGCATGGTTAGAATATGGAAAACCACATAAAAGCATGGCTCCATCCTTGCTTGTATCAAATGTTCAGGGTACTGTTGGTGATTATTTTCTCGGCAAACATTGGGCCCTTTAAGTACCAGATCATGCTTTATACACCACATTGATAACCATATCCATCATTTTATGATCACAGTGTACCCATCTTCTGAAAGCCGTTTCCAGTGAAACTCTCAAATTAGCTCAAAGTGGTTTCTTGAATGGGGTCTCTGTATTCAAATGGCTTCCACATTCAGCACATCTCAGTCCAACAGCTCACCTTTGGGTTGGGGTGGAAAGAGAGATTTACGTCATGGATGTGTACCAGACAAATCTGCAGCAATTGGGATGCTATCATGTCAATATTGACCAAAATCTCAGAGGAATGTCTCCAGCACCTTTGCCAGTCGACCAATATTTATTTTCAATCTACCTTTTTCACTTCCTCCAATGTCTGTTGCAAACGCAGGGAAGGACTAAGACTAAGACTAAGAATACTGGATCTAATATTGATTCCGAAAAGACAGTCAAGTTGCATCTTTTTACTTTTACTGTAAAAAATAGATTAAAGTGTGTTATTTCTAGGTCATTTGCACAGATATATCTGTCCATTCATCCTCCATCAGATATAATTCTGATGGAACAAATCCCTTATAAATGACTATTAAATCTCCATGAATAGTAGTAAAGCAAACATCTAATAAAATAGGATTGGACTCTAGTCTCATGTAAAGGTCAGGCCCCCATAACAGTTTTGCCCACGTTTCACCCTAGTGGGAGTTGTGCCTTAAGAGGGTCCTCTTAAGAGACAACTTCCACTAGGGCTTAAACACCTGGGACTCTCCATCAGTTGGTGTTAGAACTGAAAAAGCTTCTTGCATGAGAGGTGAAACGTCTTCAAGAAAGTTATAGAAGTCCGGTCGCTTTTCTTTCCAAGCTCCTTAGATTCCGTAGATAGCTATTTGTTTAGATTTCTGAAAGGTTCCTCCGGAGCCACAAAATACGTTATACAAAAGATTTTACATTACTCGCTGCGATAAGTGAACTGAACTCAGTGTGTAAAATGAGTGGATGGTTTGTGGAATTATAATGAAATTTGCTTGATATCCACTATTGCAAAAATCTACAGTCTGTCACAAGTTGCTAAAAACCTCCAAACTCTCTGAAACATTACCAAGGATACGACCTCGGTGTCATTAATGTTAGCTCCAGGCGTGCTTGCAAGGAATGTGGCTATTAAATTTCAGTTTAATAGGGGAGATACAGGACCACTTCTGCCTTCTTGGACATGGTGACCAAGTCCTTTATAAAAGAAAAGTTCACCAGCAGGAACGACTGGAACATCCCACACAAATATTTCTCTGAGGAATCCAATCTGCAAGCTTCAAAAGGAAAGTATCCTTTAAAATCAATATCTAAAATCAAATGACTAAATGGTCTAATCCGCATTGTACGGTTACCATCTGTCAAGTGTGTATCCCCGGTAGGAAATAACAAAAGGAAAAGGGGGAAAAAAGCACAAAAGGGATTTCTTAGCTTGGGTTAATTACACAGAAAGACAGACAAACAAGTTGCGAGGACACCCACAGTTTGTGAGCTAGAGACAAGAAGTGAATCTCAACCATTCTCAGTCCCAAATAGCTCACTAACCACTTTTATGAAGATTAATTTGAGCCCTTCCAGGTGAATCAATGACACAGCAGCCTGAGAAAACTCTCAACACTGGCTGAGTGACCCAGGCATGGGGAGGCTGGTGGATGGCTCTTTTAATTGGAAGCAAAAGAAGTGGAAGAGAGAACGAGAAAGAGCCAATCAAGTATAATCTCCGGTGCTGAGATAATTGGTGCATCAAATTATTCTGCCACAAACTAAAACCAAAGAGGTTCAAGGATCCTATTAAGATTCTGATCGGGTGAATTCCTTTCAAACAATCATGTAGGTTGAAAGTACAGTAAAAAAAATAAATTCAGGGCATTTTTAAAGTCTTTTAATCCCATTTATTTCTAGGGACCTTGTGATCTTTGTTGCTTTTTGCGTTTCACTTTGCTTTTGAAGTTCCTCAAAAACTGGCCAAATCAAAACAAAAAGTAATTTTTGTCCCAGATGACTATTTACTGTCATCTTGTTACAGAGGGAATTGCTGCAGGCACAATAAAGTCACCATCCCCCCCCGCGCCCCTCCCAATAGAAAATAATCCAGGTAAATGACACACTCTGAATACTAAAATATTGACTGACATCTCCCACGACACTGCAGGGTCAAAGGGACTACAGTTTAGTGACTTTCTGTGCCATCAGCATGAACTTTAATCTATTTTAGGTATCGTGGGAGCTCACAGGGGAAAAAAGCCCACGAGAGGCTCCTTGTTGTCTTGTATTGTTTTCCGGGCTAATCAACTCAATATGACAGTTAGCTTAACAATGGCTCTCTGCAAAGCAACACAAAAATTGCGTTAAGCTGCACTTTAAATGTTTTTCATTAAAGAAATTAGATCAATTGAGACAGTGATCCCGATAATCAAATATACAGCCATTTAAATTATCTGCTTTAAAGCCATGTTTTGTTCCAAAGTTCATCAAATATTGTACACATGAACAAGGGCAAAGCTTCGAGGAGGGGAAAAACGGAATACCTGGCAGGAAATAAATGAAATAACAAATGGAGATGAATTTGGAAAACCCAGTGACGTAGACTGAGTGTGCTTTGGCACTTTAAAGGATGCTTTATGGTGTTTTATTTGATTTCTTTGCCTGGTGAAAGTAAATAAAATAAATGAAAACATTACAAAAAAAAGTGTGATGTGATTTGCAAAGCGCAAACCCTGCGCAGATCTCCAGTCTCTGTCTCTGGCAGGCTGGCACAGATGTGGAGGCTTACACTGCACCCTGTAAACCTGACAGGAACACACAAAACAGTCGAGCCACAAGATGCGCACCAGGCGCTGCACGCTGGGAGGAGCTTCGAGATTTTTTCCCACTTGTTTCATGACACTCTCCGGTGAAGACACGTTTGCACAAAGGAGATATAGGGGGACAGGTGAGTCGATTAATGTGTGGATAGACTTAAAATGGATATTGCGAAGCTATAGTTGTGGGACATACATGGACTCCCCCTTTGAGGTGCAAGACATGATTTCTCTGCTCTTTTGTGACAGCGTAACCTGTAGCTGATAGAACTATGAAATGTGCGTAATTTGGATAAAAGAAAACGTGCTGGATGAAAAGAGTCCAGACTGCGTACCTGAGACTCTTTGCGTTGGAGAGAGACGTTTTGCACCTGTCAAGTCGGTTAACTAATCTCTCAGAGCTCAGTTGGAGATGTTTGAATGCGCACTGCTGAGTAAGTTGAACAAATTGGCACAAATTACGCACCGATGCACACTCAATTAGAAATAAATCGCCTCGTTATTATTTGGTAGTAATATGTAGAGTTAGCTTGAATTGAATCAGGTTGTGCTGAGGATGTTTGATCGAGCAGGTGTAGTGGCACAAGGTTCCTATCATTGAACAAAAAAGGGTAAATAATGGTTTATAAAGTGCATGGCTTAACCTGCCTGGTGCAGCGGTGTGTACCAGGCAGGTTAAGGCAGGGTTTTCATGTTCCTCGGGTTACTGGCACTGCAACACCTGTTGTAGCACCATGATCACATCTTCGGTGATCCCTACATATGGATTTCGAGGCATCTTACAAATCAGTCAACTATAGATTATTTTGTCCGATGTCCTAAGAGTCTCTGTTTTCTCTTCACCGCTAATATTTCAAGGAACCGACACGTATGAATGGTTTCAAATATCAGGGAATTGTGCAGGAGCTTGGAGACACGACACATCTGCAATGCAATACCTTTAGTTTAACCGTAACATTATGGGCGAGAACACAATACTTCCAAATGCCATTGGCTTCACTGTTTTACTGTTTTAGTAAAATCGTGGAAAAAGCGATGATGTCAGTGAAAGATAGTCTTTCTAGTGGTTCTCAGGAAATAGGCTGGATCCCCCGAGAAATCAAGGAGTGTCTGTCACCAAAGAGATGACCTCTCACTAAAGGGTGACCTGGTTTGTCTCAGAAAACTTTAAGCATTAAGTGATGGCCACAAAAAAATAAATAAAAATAAAAATCAATAAAAATTGCAAAGCTTAATCAGGCCCATAAGGGCAGGTCCAGGTTTTATGATTGAGAATCCCTAGGAAATGGACTTCCTCAAAGCATCTTACTGTGGTTAACATAACATAATGCAATTTACATGCATTTGCCTAATAAGGATGAGACTTGGCTTTTATCCTTTAAGAGCCAAGCTGCAGCTGTAGTTATACATGTCATTACAACATGCACTGTCTGCACTCAGCAGCGGCTCTTGGCTGTACACAGGTAAACTGCCATAAATGACTAGATGATGAACTACAGAATATTTTTACTTATGAAAGGTTGTTTAATGTTAAGCACAAAAACACAATGTTCCCTTTATAAGATTCAGACTATGCATGCAACCTGCCTGCAACTCTAATGATGTAGCTTTGAACTGGCTCACTCTTGATCTCACTGCTTCCTCCATCATGTTTTCTTTATTCTTTCTAATAGTACAGGTTTTCATGTCTCTTAGAGGGTTTTTTTGTGTTTTCTTTTGCACAGCCCAGACAATATTCCACAGTAAATAGCTCGTGATATCTGGTTCTATTTTTGCATAGGGCTTTCAAGAAGCTGCTACAAAGCAAGCTGTTCTTCAGTTGATTCTAACTGTCGATCTATTCATTAAAATTCATGTTTAATTTTCTTACTTTTTCAGAACATCTACCTCCTCAACACAGTCGTGGGCAAGTGTTCTAATAATGAGGCCGTACGACTTAGAGGCGTCTCATATCTACTAAATTGTTTCATTATCTTTTGGTTAAACACTAGATCTCTTTAATATCAGAGTGGTATTTGCAGGTGATGTAAAGGGAACAAAGAAATAACTGTGGAGCCATGTTTTTTAAGAAAGTTGGATTTTAGCTCTCTTGCAGTGCAGAGCATGGAAAACACCCTGAAAATAAAAAACATGGTTTGAAGTACAATGCATCACTAATAATGCCACTTGTCTGTCCTAATACACTGACAGGAATGTCTGCAGTTCACTTCTGTGAGTGACAGAAGGTATTACAGCGTATAAAAGACACGAAACAAATGGATAGAAGAGTAACACACCTCGACACTTGATCAAAGAGCTCTAATGTTCAGATTCCCATAGTTGTACTGCCAGTATCCAATTCAATTTGACTTATTTTATTTAGAAAATTCTTAGCATTGTAAGGTAAAGAGTCTACAATAATACAGAAAAACCCCAGCAGCCAGACAACCCCCTCTGAGAAAGCACTTTTTGACAGTGGGAAGGAAAAACTCCCTTATAAGAGGACAATATCTCAGCAGAACCAGACTCAGGGAGCCGTTACCGCTTTGTGGTGAGGGGAGAAAGACAGGGCAAAAAACATGCCTTGGAAGAGAGACAGAGATGAATAATAACTAATATTTAAATACAGAGTGGTGTGTAAACGCCAGTGTGCATGAGAAGTCTGTGAGGGCTTAATTGATGTACATCCTGGAGGTAAGAGTTCAAGAAATGTTGATCAGGCGTGATGAGAAACCTCTGATGGGATATTCTCTTAAACAGTTATTTTCTATTTTCTCTGCTCAGGTGTAAAGTCAGCCTTGATCTAGCATCTTCCAAAATGAGCCCACCGGACATATCCAACAGCACGGGAGAAGACGAGGCTGGAGAAACCGATCCCTTGTTTCTGCTTAACGACAGCATGGGCTTGCACCAGCCTGGATACCACACTGACATCATCAAGCACCTTGGAGTCCAGATCAGCCTGATCACAGCTTACTCGCTTATCATCCTGCTGGGGCTGCTGGGCAATGCTCTCGTCATCTACATGATAGTTCGCTACAGAAACATGCGAACAGTCACCAACTTCTTCATAGCTAACCTGGCCCTGGCAGACCTTCTCGTGAACACCTTCTGTTTGCCCTTCACGCTGGTTTACACTCTTCTAGAAGAGTGGACATTTGGGGCTGTGTTGTGCCACATGGTGCCCTTTGCCCAGGCTCTGAGTGTGCACGTATCCATCCTCACCATGACTGTCATAGCTCTGGAGCGCTATCGCTGCATCGTGTTCCACCTCGGAATGCGGCTCACGTGGCACTCGAGCTTCCTCATCATGGCATTCACCTGGACTGTGTCTGCTGTCCTGGCAGCACCCCTCGCCATCTTCAGAGAGTTCCGCTACGAAGAGATCCCGTCGATCAACCAGCGCTTTCCCGTCTGCACTGAAAAGTGGCCCCAAGTGACCAGCAGGGATGGGCTCATCTTCAGCCTCTCAATGCTCCTCCTGCAGTATATCATTCCTCTAGCCATCATCAGTTACGCCTACATCTGCATCTGGGTCAAACTGAGAAATCACATCAGCCCATCAAGCCGCAATGACAGCGTCAACCGCCGCAAAAAGACCACAAAGATGCTGGCGCTTGTGGTGGTGGTGTTTGCCATCTGCTGGCTGCCCTTCCATGCCTTTCAGCTGGCCATCGACCTGGACCTGGTGCTCAGGCTCGAGGAGTATAAACTAATATACACCGTGTTCCACATTGTGGCTATGTGTTCAACTTTTACCAACCCTCTCCTGTACGGATGGATGAATAAAAACTACAGGAATGGCTTCCTCATGGTGTTCCGGTGCGAAGACAAGCCGGATACTTTCCACCTGGAAGGCTCATTCAGGACTCGCTCCTTGAGGAGGATGACTCTGAACGGCCGTAACGGCGGACACCCTCCCACTGCTGTGTGACTTGATTTGCACGTTTCAAGGCATCTGTAGTATATGAACGTATGCGCGCCCCTCTGCTCCGTTGGAGTTTGTCTTTCAAAAAGTAGCCTTTTTTTTTTACTTTAATGGTTTGATCTTGAGTATCTGTGTCACTGGAGAAGACCCAAAGCTTTGCATGCAAATTGCTTCATGTGAAGTTCTTTTTCCTTTGCTAACAGCACTAGTAAAAACAACTATTAAGAAATGTGTTTAAGGTGTTTACTTAGGTGTTATTTAACTAGGTACAGTGTATAATGTGTTCTCGTGTAAAATGAGGAGCTCTCTTTCGTTTGTCATGTCCAAATTTATGACAGTCTTAAGGGAAGACTGTTATTACTGTGACAGTGAGAGTTTCATTTTTCACACCTGTTTTGTTTTTTCTACTTGATGTCTGCTCAAAAAATATCTGGATGGTTTTCAGCTAATTAATCCAACTGCTACATTCTGGATTAATTATAAGCGTTCTGGCAGCGTAACATTCAACCCTAGTTCAAGGAATCCAGAGGAGGCGATCGATATATTACTGTCCAAACAGGAAGTTAATTGTCCTCACCTGGCAACCAGCTGTTCCTGATTGGATGAAGCAGCAGGACCCTGTTTCCAGAGGAATGGGACTCTGTAGAGCGAGAGCGAGAGCAGCGTATTATTGATGTCTTTAGCACAGAATGCAGCCAGCTGCTTCGCAGATTTCTTAGAAAAAAGAAACGCTTTTGGAAGAAGTCAGAATGTGTGATTCTACATTTATTGCAGTGCTGATAAAGTGCCCTTTGTTGACTGTTTAATGAACAGGAATATTAATCAACCGCAGCACCTCTTGGTAGACATAATGAGCCCCTATTACACATGCAAATCCTGGACCTGATCTGACTATGGGGAGAAACTATGTTTTGCATGTCCTTGTCAAATAAAGAGATCCAGGTTTGGATAAATATAAGTAAGTCAAGTAAATGGCTGTTATATTCTTCTGTGACATAGTTTGAAAATGTACTGAACATTGGCAGCATGCAGGGACTCCACACATGTATGGTAAGCCCGACTGATGAAATATCCATGTGAAAATTAAAAGAGGTGAATAGGAGATCTTTTTTAGTACAAGTCACACGTTTATGCGTCTTTCACATATTTTTTTGTTTATTTTAAAAAAGAAAAAAAAATAAGTGGGTCAAGTGATTCCAGTGAAGCATTTGTATATGGCCTACACATTGTGATTCATTATACAGCAGAGAAAATGCCTATTGCTCTGGCATTACTGGCTCCTGACACCCACATTGCTGTTTTATTCCCTTGTTTGACCTATATCCCTTTTTAGTCCTCTAAATTATTATGAGAGCTGTGAGTGCTATCAGTGCAACCAGCAGAACAGCACTCAGCTTGTATCCATTGCATCACACACCATTACGGTGGACGTGTGGACACTTCTTTTTTAAACAGGAACACATTATTTGGGATTCTGGGATGCATATTTGTTCAGGGAGTCCTAAAGATGCCAGTTCCAGTTGTTGAGAGCTGACAGGGTTACATTAAAATTCCCCCTCACACGTCATTATAAAGTTCAGACAGAAAGTTTTGAGACTCTTCTGTAGTGTCTTGCGCGGTCACCTGCTGCCCTCTAGTGTCCCAAGCAGGCGTTGCACACGCCCCACCTAACCGGATATAGCGTCTCGTTTGACCTTCCTTTTTTGCTCCAGTTACGTTTGACATGATTTTCGGACTTTATCCGCGGTGAAATTCTTCCCGATGGGAGCGTAAAATGCAAATTCTCATTTTGTAAATGGTATCGCCGTGCAGGTAATCGCCTTTTCATCTGAGCTGACCCTAAAAAAATGTGCTTATTGAATGTCAGTAGTAGAATTTTCTGGGGTACGCTGTGCCATTCATTCATGTGGCTTGCCTCATGCTAGGCTATGCTAAAGGGGAAGCTAAAGAGTGCGGACGTGATAAAACAGGATAGCAGTGTTTTATCTCACGTTAGGCCTCTCGTTGTTGAAATATGTCACAGTCTGCGGTCTTAATGAGGCTTACATTGTTTGTTGTCAGTCACGCGACGAGACACAGTTGGACACAGCTGGAGTTGTGAGGTAAAAAAGTGTTAAAGGTAACGCTATAGTGTTCACCTTCAGGTGTTTATTGAACTTGACACCTGTTGTTGTAGCTGAAAATACCAATGGCTTGGATTTATTTTGGAACATAAGGGTTGTCATCGCTGAGTTGTTTTATCACATTGACACCGCTATTTACGGCTTCGTCCTGATGTGGCATCTGAAAATTATCTGAACACATCTGGCTAACTATCACGCTGTTTGTTCTGTGTGTTTGCAGGGTAAACCAAGGGAACAATGGTGAAATATTTCTGCTGTGCAGGTCTGCTAAAAAACACCTGGGACCAAGTCTGTGTTGCTTTCTGGCAACGATATCCCAACCCTTACAGGTGAGGTGAGGGGTTTATGTGTGGATACGCATTCGTATCAAACATCTTTCTTATAGCCTGTAATATTTTTTAATGGACTGTAAACTGCACCCAATAAGGCAACAAAAAGTCACCTTGCAATGTGAAGAGCCTACAATTTTAGAGTCAACGTCCCAAACCCAGCTGATCGCCTCTTTCTGTAAGCACTAGATGACTGTGGGGTGGAAGAACTCCATTTTAACAGGAAGAGACTAACAGGTCCAGACTCCTCTGCCATGCTAGTTGGGGGAAGGGAGAAAAAAGGAGACAAAGACACAGGGATGGAATATAGTCTGCATTATCATAGTTTTCCTAATCTTTACGCTTAAATGCCAAGTGTTTTGAGAATGCGACATCATCAGTGTGATTTTTTTTTTTTTTAACTTCCCCTTCATATGTTTTTGTTTAAGATAAACAAACCGATATAGCGATATAGAAAAAAAAAGATAAAATTAAAAACACATTTTATGTATCCAAATGTTCAGTAAACACTCCAGTTTAAACATTTTTTTTAGCATAAATATGAGACTGTGTCATGGTGTGATGATCAATGAATTTTGTTTCACTTTAGTTTCTTATGAGACAACTTTTGAGACATTATGTTTTACAAATGCAACGCTCAGAGAAGTCATGTGACTTACAGTCAGGTATGTCTCCCAGACTCGGTAAGAGTATTCACCAACACTTCCTCGTGCTTGTTCTGCTGATTCATAGGACGGTTTGTGTATTCCCACGGCATTTTTTCCACTTGGTTCATTTTTGTTTTTATCTAAAGTCGATTTATTTTTATTATTAAGAACATTTTTGTTGTTGTTACTTCAGTGAACAAGATTCTTTTTACATCTCTTTTTAGTTTTACATTACAAGAACAACATGATTAGATTACATTTTAGCATTCACCTACTGAGATGGTTAAGTGGAAGATCCTGGAAAGTCATTTTCAGGAAACGCATAGTTTTGACTTTATTTTGCCAATTTTCTGCTGAAGATTGTTCGCATAAAAAATTTAATGGAGATAAAAATAATAATAATAATACTTTAGGGGACCAAGCAGTTTCTAAATAGCTCAGTTTCTTCATCATTCTGCCATTTTTACCAGCCGAACTACCATTCGGGTAATAAAGGGGGAAAAAAATCACCGTAATCAAGTCACAATGAGTGTGAAAGCAAATGTTAGTTGTGCTTTTAATTGAATCATCAGTTTGTCCATTTAATTGAAGCTTAATAGTTCTTGTCAAGCTAAAAATACAGTGTCTACTTTAGTATTTCTGTGTTTGTCACTGTTTCATAGAATGTTTAAATGTAATATATTTCGATTTTGAACTGTTGTGTGGATTAAAAACGGTAAATTCTTATTGAACTGAAGCAAAAATAGAGATTTTTCAGGATCATAAACCTAAATAATCCAGGTTTCACGTCATCATAATCCATCCGTCCTTCTTCTTCTTCTTCTTCTTCTTTCACAGTAACCATGTCTTGACTGAAGATATAATTTTCCGAGAGGTTACCCCAACCAACTGCCTCATTTCCAGGCGTCTTTTGACCAAAACTAGCCGTGCCCCTCGCTGGATGGAGCGCTACCTTCCAAAGCACATGGCCAGCTCGGCGTACATCATCGAGGACTCCATCGTGGACCCTCAGAAAAGGACCATGACCACGCTCACGTGGAACATCAGCCACGCTCGCCTAATGGTACATTGGCGTTTGTGTGCCTTAAGCAGCATTCATCAGCAGTGCACAAAGTGGCACCTTTGGCTCATTTTGCTTTTGTTTTTTCTCGCTGACAGTCTGTAGAAGAGCGGTGTCACTACAGAATTAACCCTGAGAATGGCAGCTGGACCGAGATTAAGAGAGAAGCTTGGGTCTCCTCCAATGTCTACGGGCTCTCTAGAGCTATTCAGGTCAGTGGAGTAAAGCAGAGTGCTGCGCTACATAACAGCTGAGGGAAAGTAGCCGGGGGTGACCGAGAGTAACACTCGCCCACCTTGCATTTGTTCTGTATTTAGAAACATAATACAGTGTTAAGATGCAACAGCTGAGCAGCTGAAGCTGTCGGCCAGGACCTGAAGTAGTAAATGACTTATGACAGAGAATTACAGTAGTTGTTGACAGCCCATATATGAGGATGTGAGTCATGTGTTGTTATGCCTCGTGCATCTTTTATAACTTTGTTTTTCACCTTCCAGGAATTTGGGCTCGCAAGATTCAAGACCGGTGTGACAAAAACCATGAAAGGCTTCGAGTATGTGCTTGCCAAAATGCAAGGTAAATTATTCTTGGTTCTTATTCCCATTTTATTCCTATTGTAAGTTTGTGGCTGATGCTAATATGGGTTTTCCAAATCGGTTCAAACTGCTCAAAAAAATTAAGGGAACACTTGATCGCCTCAGTGTAACACATGAGGATTGGAGCCCAACGTCCTTTAGCAGGATTTGTGCTCACACACCAACACTGTGCTGCTGGAGTGGCATTTCCTGGAGAACACTAGAATTGTGAGCGGCAGGCGACATAGTGCTTCCCAGCATCTCCAGACACCTTTATGCTTGTCACATGGACTCCGTGTCAGTTTGCGTCCTTTGAAGAGAATTGGCACTATCGGAGGCTGTATAGCATTGTTCTGCTGGCACAGGTCCCACTTAAAGACACTGGGACTTTATGCCATTTTCATGGAGTCTGTTTCTGATGGAAGCATCGAGGTTAACACGTGTAGCCCTCTGGAGCTCATTCTTTAGGGCTCTGGCAGCCCTCCACATGTTCCCCCTCACACAGAGTCACATAGTGGGGCTGCTACTGGGGTGGATGGCCCTGGGAGACACAGCAACCCTTCTTGCAATGGCATGTATGGCTGGAATACTGGAGGAACTGAACTACCTGTATATGCTGAATGGATTGCAGCTATTGTATCAGTAGTGACTAGTGACACAAAGAAAACGTAAAGTTAGAGAGAAATCAGTTGGGGAAAAGGTGAGAACAATGGTCTGTGGTCATCGTCTTGCAGAAGTATTCTCTTTTTGATGGTTGCCTTCTCTTTGCCTCCCACTTTACCTGTTGTCGCTTTTATTTATCCCAAAGCAGGTTAAATGGAGTCAGTGGTTGATGCTTCCTAATAGGACAGATGGATATCTCTTAAGTTTAACTGACTCTGTGTTAAACTGTGGTGATCAAGTGTCTCCCTTTTTATTTATTCATTTTTTTCTGAGCAGCATAATATAATAACATCAGTAATTCGTGCATGGAACTGCATATTCTTCTAAAATAAGGTGACTGTTGCTTTTTTCATGAATCTGGAAAACTGATTATAGTAATAATTGGAAGTGTTAGCTGCTTAGGCACGAAAACCTGGATGAATCCAATGAAGAGCTGTGTTTTCCCCCCGTGTAGGTGAAACTCCATCGAGAACTTTAGCGGAGACGGCTACAGAGAGGGCGAGAGAGACGGCGCTGGCTGCTAAAGAGAAAGCCAAAGACCTCGCCTCGCATGCCCAGAAGAAGCAATACGTGTGACAAGCTACACAAATAAAGTGATTCTGCAGCAGAACTCACCGATCCCAGTCATGGTTAGACACCTCTGTGAGGGCGCATCCAACTGAAATGGTGGGTGGACCATAAAAGACCTGAGCTGGGTTAAACAGCCTGTTCCTGCCTCCCTCTACATGCCGCACTATAAATGTATTGCCGAGCGTATCTACGCCACATCACCTCAGTATTTACCAGAGATGCAGGTCTTAGACAGGAATGGTTGGTTATTACTGGCGCTGCCATAAAATGATTGAAGCTGTTGTTCGACCTTTGCACCAGTCGTGCCCATTGTCTTGTTTTTTTGTTTGTTTTTTTTAAACTCCGTTCCTTTGAGTATGCCTCGTCTAAAGCAAGTCACGTTGTCTTTAAAGCTCCAGTAGATAAGGTCACACCGAATTTGTGATTAAGGCATTCTCGTTTATGATTGGTTTTATTTAATCTTGCATACAGTTGCTGGTTTAGTTCGCTCTACAACACTTAAATCGCATTACTGCAGCTGATCATCTCCTTGCCTCAAGTTGGACTGAAGAGTTTGGTACAGTTGGTGTCATTGCTCAAGAAGAAACCTCTGAAAACTTGAATTGTGATTGTGCATTTAAAAAAAAAAAAAAAGGCACAAAAGCTACCTTGAACTGTACATTCATCTAAGCTCTGGTGATGCAACCCATGAAAAAATGTGTCCTTTATCAGCTTGTCAATAAATTGACTTTGTCTTTCTAATCACTTTGCTGTCTGTCAAGTGTATGTCTGTGCGCCAGCCCTGCTCGAGTTAGGGGTGAATGGATTTTTACCTCTAAAATGACTAATAACAAACACAGCAGCAAATAAATACAGAAAATATTTATTCATTAAAAAAAAGGAAGCTTACATCAGTAAAAAAATGCTACATAATATTACTGGGTGGAGAGACAGATAAAGTAATAAGGCCTCTTGCATATACAAAAGTGAATTGAGGGGGTAGAAAGCACCTTAAGTTATTAAATACTAGGGGTTGACCAGTGTTCAGAGTTTCAAGGCCTTTGAAGATAAACTGTAAATGAGCCGCGCCGGCTCTGATGCAGTCTTCTGTTTGAACACGGCTCATAAATAACAGCCCATCAACACCAATGTTATACAGTAGTGCAGCTGCAAGCTTGGAGCAGCTCCCGGCACCTGCTGCAAAGCTGTGTTTCCATGCTGAAGCGGCAGAAGTTGCAATAAACACTGCGATGTTATGTGTTTCTATGACTACAAGCACGGCGATTTTTCCCAATTACACTGAAAAATCGAACAATGCACCTTTTTTTTTTTGTTTTTTTACATTGATGCAATTTACTAAAACAAATTAACAGTTTATGTAGCCATAGCTTGCCCAGAGGCATTTCAGCAAAGTGTTAGGTTTATCTAAAAGTTTCAAATATCTGTTATCGGTGTCTTTGAAACTAAAAAAATATAGGTCGACCCCTATTGAATACACAGAAATGAATATGTAATACAGCATTAACTACATAATCATTAAAAGTACAAACTGCCTACCTGACTGGTGAATTTGTTATGTGTATAATTAACAATTTAATTGATAAATGCACAAGTGAAGGTAGGAAAGACTTCTAGGAAACATTAGCAGTGAATAAAACTGCCATTAGGCCTCGGTGAGCAGCTCCCAAGTGCTCCTCTCACAGTTTTAAGTTCTTAAATTGTGAACTAATTCATATTTGGCAATGTTACTGAATTTTCCTGATGTCGATGTGCAAATATGACCTGCTTCTGTTTGCTGCTTTCAAATCTTTTTGAGACAAAACAAGTGCAACATTTGGAAATTATGTGCAATAGAATAAAAAGGAGCAAAGTATATGACTGCACTTAGATATACAATAGGACACAAACACAAAAAACCCCGACATAGCAAGATTAATGTTTAAGTGCATGCTAAACGTGGCATACTGAGATATAAGCTTAGTGCTAGGTAAAAGCTGAATAGCATACTAAACCAGATCTGATTTAAGGCAGAATTCAGTACAGACATTCTGTAGTAAAGAATAAGTTAAAAGTTTAGAATAAAAGCCCTTATCTGAATTTTAAAAGCCCTTAAAAAAATGAATTATTAGAGCTGCATGAATGATACGAAGTTTGACACCTCATGGCTTTGGGGGAAAATAGCATTAATGACTGATGCTAGAACACACACGAGTATGTGTTTGGTGACGACACGGCCCAGTGAATTTTACTGCTATTCAGTGCAAATGGACACCTCTCTTTCATAACCAAAGGTTGGCTTTTAGCTTTTTGTCCGACGTGTGCTGACAAGAGAATGCCAAAAAAATGTTCAGTTGTACAGTAACATCATCTTCCATTCTCCCCCATCCTTTGTTTTTGGAATGTTTTTCCTCCTCTTCCTGTCCGTCCGGTGACAATAAACCAGTTACCACTCGTGTACTGCCGTCATAGCCAGGCCTTTTCCAGGCTGGAGTAACAGTGGTCCGCGCCGGTGTGCGTAATGCTCAGTCCATCAGAGTCCACAAACACAATGCTCTCCACATCAACCTCAACGTCCTCTGTAACAAACCCGAGCACAGATCCGATCCGTCAGCAGAAATACGGCAAACTTCGCTCGTCACATTAAGCTTGAACTTGCAATTTGCCTTTGAGGAGACAGCCAGCTCCTAATAGGACTGAAATAATTTGAACGTGAAATAAAAAAAACCCGAGGGGCTTACCTCTGTCTGAGTCCGACCTCTCGGAGGACATGGTTGACCCCTGGCTGTCGTTCCTCATCCTCTCCGTGCCCCTCTGCAGCTGCTCCAGCCGAACCCGCAGCTCTTGCTGCTCCCAGCGCAGACGATCCTTCAGCTGCTCTGCACGCTCATCCTGCTCCTGCAGCTTCTGAACGGGAAAAAGGTGCAGGAGCAGAGCAATGAAGAAAGGATAAACAGTACAGGCAAAAGCAAAAATTGAGATTGCTAAAAGCTCTGTAAAATGCACAAAACAAGCCACTTTCTATACACACAGTATTCATATATATTCAGAATATTTAATGTTCTTGACTAATTTAAATGCTTAACTTTAGAAACACCAATTACATGCATGTCTTTGGACTTTGGGAGTAAATCGAACTACCCGCAGAGAGCACACAGACAGAGGGAGAACATGCAAACTGCACACAGAGAGGCTGGATTTAAACACAGGATATTCTTGCTGTGAGGCAGCAGTGCTAACCACCACACCACAGTGTTACCCCACTTCATGATTCAGCATTGTTCTCTGTTTTGTCTTGTGCGGTCTCCCTTTAACACGTATTGTGTCCCTGAGAAAAGCACCACATTTTAAACATGGCTGGGATGACAAGTAAACCAAACTCGAGTCAGATTCAATGCAAATTCAGACATCTCGCACCTTTATGTGAAGCTGGGCTCGTCTCAGCAGGTTCAGAGTGGTGTTCCTCATCGAGTCCGATGACAGTGGGACCTGCTTCTTCAGCTGCTCCAGGCAGTGCCTCAGCTGTGCCCGTCTGCAAAGCACAATGAGAAAGAAGTGAAGCTGCAAATCCACACTTCCCTCTTTTTGGGGTTTTTTTAATCTCTTGATCTGACACACATGAACTTTTACTGTAGCATTACGAAGAAAAGCCCATTACCTGTTTTTCTCCAGCTCATTATGAACAGACCTGCAAACAAAGTAAACAAACAGACAGTTTGGTCAAACATTCACAACAGTGCATTCCTACTCAGCAGCTACTGCGTGAGAGGTATTCAAGGTTGAAAGGGTGCCTTATCAAAACTGAAAGTCAGACCGAGCCACACCCTGTCGTCAGTTATTTGTTATGTAATGCATTCACCTATTGCCACCAGCAGATATCTTCTTGCTCTTCTGCTTGCTTCTCCTGTCGAACTGAGCTGGACTGAGAGGCAAGACGGAAGCATACCCATGTTCTGCCTCTGCGCAGGGAGACGCATCACAGCTGTGTTACACAACAATCGCCGGCAAAATCACAGTGCACACTGGCTGCGACGTTAAAGGTGCCCTCATATTAACATGTGCGAATGCCGGTGGGACAAATCAACTTTTATTACGGCGTAATTAAAGTGTGATATACTATCCGTGCTGTAGGGGAGGTGGGAGAAAAGGAGGCTGAACGCAGTCTACCGTTGTCATCAGCTGGACGTTTTGCTTTTGGCGCCATCATCCACTATCTGTTCGCTTTTATCCAACCAGCCTTACAACCTCACGCGTAAAAAAGGAGTCGGGATAGCGTCTACAGCTAGTAAGCAATGAATAAAAGTTATACTTTATAGGCTTTCCTCATCCCCCCCCCCCCCCCCCCCCTTTCATTCACCGGAGCGAACGCTCAGCGGCGCCCGGATTCATTTTCAAACTGGTCCAGATTGGCGCCTTTGAGTACAAAGATGCGACCGATATGTAGGTCAGAGTCAAATGGCAAAACACCGCCCAAAAATAACCTTGCACCTAGAATCCAGGTTAAATCTTAAACAGCTGCACGGTATGATGTTTCTACGTTATGTGTAGGTGCATACTTGCCGCCGGTTTATTGTGGATTCATCGTTGTTTTAACAATAACCAATCAACTCCCCTCTCTAGGCTGACAGTTGACATAAAGCACTTACCCCGCTCTCTTCTCTCCAGAAACTCGGCAGCCCGAAGAAGCACCTGGATGTTGCACACTTGTCCTTCCATTGTTTTGGTTTTTTTTGCTCAAATGAAACGGCAGCAGGTAAACAAGCTACTGTGGTACAAGCGTCAAGAGCCCGAAGTGGATGAAGCAGTGTCTGAGCTACGTCCTCAATCCACACAACGCTAAACCGGTGGTGCGTTCAGGAGCCCCACGCAAACTCGGAAATTTTCAATAAATTGTGTATAAACATTCCAGGTTATACCGTTCTACGTAATATTTTGACTAAATTCTCTAACCACTCGGATATTATCATTAAACTTATCACGCCACATGCCCCACACTATCTATCGATTCATCCAAATCAATATGCTTTTCTTCTGAAAAGTCTTTTTATTAGGGTCAAAGTTGAACTTCAGAAAAATAATGGTCAGCAGGATAGCGTCAGCGCTTTTTGTTCCGTTCAAATTATTTTTCATATTTCCCTTCATGTTCAACTTGCATTGCTAAGTAGTGGTGTTTTTGTCTGTTTGTTTTTCTAAAAGTCGTTTATGGCAAATTTGCTCATTTAATCCAGGGAATTCTGGGTTTTGGTGGAATCTGTACAATCGTTGTTTGCAACCTAGAATGCGCCATATGTCTAATGTTATGTTAGCATTTATGTAAAATCCTATGCTATGCAAATGATAAACCAAGAAATAATGCTATAATTGTACTCTTTATAACAAACAATATCTGTGTTATACCTCCATCAAAATATTTCCGAAAGCACTGAAAGCACCTAACACTGATTGGTCCCTGTCCTTCCATAAAGTTTATTGAAAAAAAAGTCTTTCACACGGCACTATTTTTCTAATTTTGTTTATCGACATTGTCAATGATAACATTTCACAACAAGATGATTGTTTGTGAGGTAGCTCCCGTTACCAAACCAACTCTTACACATTTATTTCAGTTCATATATTTCAGTTTCACTGTCTCCCTCAACGTCTAAAAACAGCTCAAGTCTAAACATTTTATTTCGATAACAAAATGTTTAAGGATAGAAAACACTCAAACGTGTTACAGTTTGCTCAATAAAGACAATAAATAATAAAAAATTCAATAAACATTATATATAC